ATATCGCGACGAAGAGACTAAGTCGCGGTACATAACAGTCGAGAGTAAGAGCCAATTGCTTTAGGATTGAGTATTTCTTTATTACATTCATCTCACGCCTGGAATAAATTAAATTTCGATAACAATTTGACATCAGTAAAAGTAAGAATTCAAAATAAATTCTTTTATCAAGAACAATGCAAAAATATATATTAATAGCATATAAAGTAATATAAAGAAAACGAGTGTCAGACAATTTTAGTTTACATAAAATTAAACTTGAAATTTCTAAGCGTACTTACTTCCTTGCCTTTTCGACGAGATTATAAAAAGGAATCTCCCAAACATACATTTTAATTACTTGCAATCCGGTGATTACCTGATTCATTATTCTAAGCCTATCGTCTGTTTTTTCTGCTAACTTGAGCGTTAAAGGTGCCAATACCTTCGCCAAGATCGCTGAAATAGCACGTGTGTTATTTCAATATCAAATATGTAATGGAATTGTGATGACAGAGATGCATTAATCGCATGATTTTTATAATCATTTATTAACAGAAATGCGCTAATACCTTGAACAGGAATGAACAGTAAAAACACTGATATTCCTATCAATGCTGCCCACCCAATTTCATTGAATGTAACATATGTGATCCATATAATTTGAACAGGGGCGATCCAAATGTAGTGCAGATCTACCAGAGACGCTTCCAATCTGGTAATATCGCTACTCAGGAAATTTACCATCTAAAAATGACGTACAAACTCGAATTATTATAGTATTTTGACAAGTATTTATTGAAATACTTGCTAAGATTTAAAGTCATTCTGAATTTCATTTGAATGACTATAAATGGCCTTGAATGGCTTTACATACATACAGATTGTTAGTTTCCTTTAATAATCACCTAAACTTATTGTTAATAGTACATGGCATAAATATTAGTAGTATGTACATGCATGGTATCGCTTCCAAAATTATTTTGGTATAGAAAAATCTCTTTATGTTCCTCAACATCCCTATTCTTCACCCACTTTTGCGCTTGTACTGCACCCTCTGATGAGATTTGTCACGTGATCAACATACCCTGAATAAATGAAAATATTTGGCTTGTGTCTGGCTCACCTGTCCAGTGGATGTTTCACTGTCCAACACAGAATTCGAGAGCTTCAATATTTTTTGATAAATCAATGAAGTACAGGCCACCTTAATTTTTAATCCTAGGTGAAAGGACCAGTGTACGCTATGATGTGTAATAAAATTGTCCAATATGGACAACAGAATTATACCGGCTGCGCTGTAATACACTTCGTTGCTCCATTCCTTCTTGTCGCTCGCGAAGTAGCGCAACAAGGTAGCAAGTAATAACGGTTGATACATTCTGTAATATAATTAAAAATTGTTAGAAGCAACGTGTATGAAAATTATTTTATGGACAATAAATTGTTTAGAAAATTAAAGTTTATTTTCTAAGTTTATATCGTTTTTATTTGCAATCTCTATCGTATCTTTCACTTCCAAGTAATAATGGTTAGAGTTTATGTTTGATTTCGAATGCATCATATTGATATAATTAATATCATATCAATACAATTCGTTCAGCTTTATTTACTTTATTAACATATTCACCTAGAAAATAACTCCATAACTGCTTCCGCAATTCCAATTAGCAGAAGCGGTTTTCCGAAACAGCGCAAGAGTACTCTGAGTAACTGTGGCTTGCTGCCATTTTTCTTTTTAGCACACGATTCCACTTCTTTTTCCCAAGCTTTGCCTATAACTTCGCCTAAATACTCGGTTCTGTCTTGCGTAAGAGTAGCATAAAGATCGGTCTCCTCCAAATCTTTTTTGTAGCCAGTCCGAAAAATTTTTCGGGTCCACCTGTACGTATTCATTGTTATTAAACTCCTTGAATCCACATTTCACATACAGTTTGTTAATTATTATAACGCGCGTAAATATACAAGGTATCCCAAAATTCGCGAATCAAAATATCATAACAAGAAAGTCTTCGAAAAATTAAGAAAAAAAGTTATTTGTAAATTTTTATTTTAAGCAATAGTTTTTGAGATATAAG